CCCTCACAGCAGGCCGAAGCCAATCTCGAACAAGACAGTGTTGCCAAGGATTGACCCTATACCATACAGTGACTCTAGTGACTCTGGGAGAGACTATTGGCGAGATCCAAAGATGAGAGAGCAGCCCAGCCTGGATTAGGCTGTCAAAGCGCAAGATTTGATTTGATTGCCTGCAATCTGTTGGTTTCATCAAGAGTGGAGTGTTTCAGATATTTCATTTTTGCAAGCGAAGGCGTTATCATTGTCAAACTTGATTCTGCAGTTGTTTTTGGTCAATGTTTTGGTTCTAAACGCCCGGCACTGCTGAGGTTCTATGAGCAGTACTACAAAAATCTTAGTCTGTGGCCCAAACCAACCTTGTTTTTTCTTTTCACTCTTCTGTCTCTCTCTCACTAGACATAGGTATATTATATATATAGATATATATTACACATATAGATAGATATTGGAGGACACTTGCCTTGAAACCTGAGAATGTCCGTCGTCGCCGTCGCGTCATCGTTATAGTCAAGGTCGCAATGGGACGAACTACTCAGAGTGGCTGAGGCCTCTTCCAACGCATCAAGTCCGTTTGGTCGGTGTTGCGTTGAAGGAATTTCAACTTCTCCAACTTTAACTTCAGCGGGAATGGTAGTGGAGACTCCGATGACTATATGCGGACCGGAACTCAATGTACCTTCAGTTTCTCGCCGAAACTCCAGTGCCCGCAATTGCTTAGGTCCTTCCGTGACTTCTACTCCAACAGATCACAGAACAAGGCTTGGTGCACTCAGTCACTTCTCAAGCTGGCGGAGTTGAGCATCCATTCCACAAGCCCGCAGAACTGTAGTTAGATAGGTAGTGTGAGGGTGCCCGCTCCGGGACCCGTCCACAAGCAAGCATGTTTCTTCAAACTTTAGTTTTCCAAAAGAAGGATATTCTCATGATTTGTGCACCTTTTTTGGACTGCGAGCTCCCAAATTTTAACCTGGAATGCTTGCTCCTTAAAGATTATGCACAAGTAATCGATCTTTCTCCGCGCGTCTGATTGTGAACTGAAACTATGTTTCTGAAACTCGGAATGTATATATTTGAAGCTATGTTTGAGAAACTTCATTTTTTGACACCTGTTTGGCATGTTTCGGACACCGCACGTGTTACACGAAGTATCAGGAAGTTACATAATGTTGCAATCACAGAGAACGCCGCCATGATAATGTGAGATTGTAAGATGATGTTACTTCCTGCAGGATAATGTTGGCCCCAACCCCCACCACCCCCACTCCAGGCCAGCGAGTGTCTACAAGAAGTAACATCATCTTGTAACTGTGGTTTCTGGCAGATGTGTAGTTTCCGAAGCTTGGTTTCTGAAATGCACATAGTTTATGAAACGCGCATAGTTTCTGAAACGTAGATTCTGAAACACGCTTGTAGTTTGTGTTGTATTGTTATGTATTCCGAAAGCCAGCCGATAGGCTAGGCTTGAGCTCTTGGAGCGAACGAAGTGAGTTGAGGGGTGTGGGGGATCTTGGTGGGGGAGAGCGCTCCAGAAAAGCAGTGAACATGGGGTCTGGTGATGCGAGTGATGCAATGGACGCCGAGTAGTGCATCATTAGCATCACGAAGGGTCTGGAGACAAGTCCTGAGCAGGGCATAGGGACTGTGTAGCTCTGACCATACCAAGAAGAACCAAAGTGAACGCTCTGGGAGCGAACGATGTGAGCATGTCCAGGTGGGCGAGGTAGAGGCTTGGGGATAAGAGCGCCGCAAGAGGAGAAGCAAGAAAGCTGCAAGCGTTCAACACCTTGCTGTGCTCCGATCTTGATCTCAGTCGCAGTGATACCAGCTCCACGAAACTACAAGCTTTCAACTATAGGTTCTCTGCTATTTTTTCCTCCCAGCCCTGCTCTCTATAGGGCTTCGCATTGATGCACGATACCCGAAGCACATTCAACACAACCACAAAGACCAATTCGGGCATCATTCTCCTGGTGTTCACTGACGTCTATTTTTGCACGGATTCTCAAATAGAACACCAACAAGGGACGCTCCAGAAGGCGCCGCACCAAGCAAATCAAGAATATTAAAAACATTCAACACTTCATGCTGTGCTCCGATCTTCACCTACGTCGCAGTGATACCAGCTCCACGAAAACTACAGCCATTCTAGAATGAGTGCTCTCCTCTTTTTTTTCCATGCCCTGCTCTTTATAGGGCTTCGCATTGATGCACGATGCCCGAAACACATTTCAAAACAACCAAAAACCACCTTTCGGGCATCCTTCTCCTGGTCTTCACTGACGTTTATTTTTACACGGATTCTCAGGTAGACCACCAAACAGGGACGCTCCAGAGAGCACCGCGCTTGGAAAGTCGAGGAAACCTAAAACATTCAACACTTCATGCTGTGCTCCGATCTTGATCTACTCCACGGTGATACAAGCTCCACGAAAGCTACAGGCTTGGTCTCTCGCTGGCTTTCGTCCTCTCCTTTCTCAGGTATATGTACACACATTTTTATTCATATGATGATTTCATGTTCGGGTTGAGACATCGCCGTTGACAAGTCAAGTGAGAAGAAAACAACAAGGACCTCCTCCATCTCAAAACAGTGCCAAAGTCTTGCAAGCTGCTTCAAAGGTGTGCCGAAGGTTTGACAGACACAAGTGACGGATTTGCCAAATCCATCCAGGAGACGGATGCGGGAAACTCAACTTCTTCAGGCAGCAAACTTAGCCTCGAGGTATGTCATCAGCCCTGGAGGGAGGAGGACTGTTCTGGCCCGGCGTACCCTGCAGGTGAGGACTCCGAGCAATCTGATCCAAGCAATCCTGAGCTTTAAAGCTGAGACTTTTGCCAGTTCGCCTGTTCTCCAAGTGATACTTCTGCAGTAGGCTGAAGCAGCATACTGACAGGATATGTTGCTTGTTACGTAGGCCAGCCAAAATTGCCACTCCGTCCAATTCTACACAGTGAATGTTTTGTTGAAATACATCAACCTGTTTTGGGCTTTTTGGAGTGGCAGCCCTGTCCAAAGACTTGAAACTTTGCCCATGCGTTGGGAGGAAAACCAGCCTTGTAAAGCGTGTGGAAAGCATGCCCGGAACATCTAGAATTTAGAAGTCGCCACACTGGTCACCCCTCTCGGCTCGAAAGCCTGGGTGACATAGCTTCGTTCGCCACCTCAAGGCGAGTTACGGCAATTTGTCCTTTTTATGTTTCATGTGATTCATCAGAAAGTTCCTCACTGATTGAGAGTTGGAGGCTGATTCGGTCATGGCAGAGGCCTTTGATCCTAGTCATGAGTCATAAGAGTCAGAGCAGAGCCTAAGCAGCCCAACTAATACCCTGAGCTGTCAGCTGTCAGCTGTCAGGGCGACAAGCTGACGCTGAAGTCTTCCCAGGGTGAGATTTTCGAGGCACGGATCAGACAAACAGAGTATGAGCAGCAGAAAAGGAATCGCCATCCATGTTTTTATAGAAGCATCTCAGAGGTGGAGCCTGAGGTGGCTTGCATGTCCACACTGATCAAGCTCTGCACTCAATCTAATTTCTTTGGCGGAAAAGAGAGCATTATCATTTCTCCAGTAATCATTGTCACTTAATCTCAGAGAATCTGTCCTAGGAACATGGTGGAAGACAGCGGCACCGATGAGGAGATACCCTTGCCCAATGTGAAGACAGCGATCCTAAGCAAGGCACGGAATGGAGACCAATGGCATGTGATTTGTCTTGGCACCCTGCAGGTCATCGACTATTGCAGGCTGTGTGGAACAGGTTCGGTCCGCAGTCTACCTGCCTCATGCATGTGAACCGCGCAGGTACCACAAGGACAATCCGCCAGAAGAAATTCAGAAGCCTTTGAAGAGTGAGCGGCACACTTTGAAAAGTGAGCTTTGTTTTTGGAACCTGGTACTATTGTCAAGAGTCAAGAGGTACAAACTTGGTAGAGTGCGGGGTCTCTGAATGGGACAACGAGTGCGCGAGAGTGCAGTATTTGTACCGCCCAATCTTGTGCAAGTGAAAGCTGCCGTTCAGGTACGTGAACATTGAACAGGAGGCTTTGGTTTTGTCAATGAACTTGTAGATTGATGAACTGATAAAGGACGTATTGTTGTGGGAAAGCTCTAACGTCAATATGGATGCTGTGGAGTGCTGGCAAGGTCTTATTTGAGCTCATCTTGGCCGCGAATTATCTTGACATTAAAAGCCTCTTGGACCTCACTTGTGCCAAGGCTGGAGCATGACATGAGACCGGGTTCATGAAGCAAAGCGCTATGCACATTGGAGACTTGAAGAGGTTGCATCAATGATCAAGGGCAAGAATACCGAAGAAATTCGCAAGCAGTCTGCTTCTCAGACATCTCTAGTACATCCATTGCAAGTCCAAAAATAGACTGACAGGTTCAACATTGTCAACGATTTCACACCGGAGGAGGAAGCACAAGTGCGAGAGGAGCCCCAGATTTCATGCATGTGAAGCATTGTGAAGCAATGAAGCACTAATAACGAGAAGCAATGCTGCTTGGAAGGAGAATCGCTGGTGTGAAGATGCTTGAGTCAAACGGGTTTTGTTGTGAGCGATCGGATGCAACACCTGCACCCACAGTCACAGTTTGAAAGCTGTTGGAAATTCATTTGGAGTTGTTGGCCTATATAGCTGGCGTGATCAAACTTGTGGAATTGTTGGCCTGTGGGAGCACGATGCTAGCAGCGGTTCGACTGGTGTACAGTCTAGTCTCTTCAGGGCTGGCATGCCCTGAAATGCCAAAATATGCGGTTTCATACACTGTAGTCAGGCTCTGGAAGACACTGAACATCTCAAATTTTACGTTCTGCACTCCGGTTGGGAGCAGTATCGTTTGATTTTGATAGGTGGCTCAATGCCCAGCATTGACTGCTTACACAGCACATGCTTTGATTGCCAGAGTTGTACCATCTTGTCAAGCCATGTAGAAGGACCCCCACATGTACATACATGTGCTGCAGAGGTCTCTTTGTTCGGTATACCAAACACTTCTCAAGTGAATTTTGTTAGCTTGACGTTTGACATCGCGGCGCATGGCCATTGGTGTCCCAAAGGCACGGCGAAGTGCAGGATTCAACTTTCCGGGCAATGGATGAACGCAGACCGTTAGACCTCGATAATACATCTTTCTGGATGCGTCGGCACACCGGCATGACTGAAGATCTGCTTCCCCAGCAAGTACGTGCAGTTTCACAACTAGCAGGCCCTTTTCAGCCAAGCTGTGAGATGCTAGCTGCTAGGCCCGTGTGCCACGGCTATAAAAAATGGAGGTGAAATTCAGAGTTCTTTGTGCTGCAATGTATGACCCAGCGGCCATCAACAACCCTTGCCTTTCCACAACCGGAAGGCACTTGTCACTCGACGTTACGTACGGACGGTACCTTGGCCCAGCTTCGGGCGCATGGCAAAAGTATGCAGGTTTGAAGGGCTGCCGAATTGAAAGCTTTCAAGACCACAGTAGCTGCTCAGCTTTGCTTCCAGACGAGAGATGGAAGGCTACATTACGCGAGAGGGAAGGTCAGGAAAATACGACCGGAGCGGCGAAGCTGCAGGAAGCTGCGAAACTGCGGGAGAACTACCCTTCAGGAGACACACTTCGTGAGACTTTCTTTGCGAGACCTCGGTGGAGGGGTCACTACACACAGCGGGAGTGGTCCACCAGTGATTGAAGCGTCCAGGCTTCATTTGCGCAGTAATGCTCCACTATCTCAATGGGACACCAACGCCCTGGGTGCACGGGGGGGTCATGGTTCAGTTTGTATGAACCGTGCCACTCAATAGGCTCCGTGGCCCAACAAGCGCGACCTGCAGTATCTTTCAGCATGGTATGTCAACCATCACTCATGACTTCGCCAGTCACGGCATATGTCACCAACATTCAACAATCAGCCAAGTCGCGACATTTCTCTCAGCCCAACACCTAGACTAATTACTAATTACACAGTATATGACGGGATGAAGCAGCAATTCACCTGACTTTTGTGGCACAGCGTGCCGCACAGCAACTCTGCCCAACTGCATTTGTTGACATCCCACCAAGTGGCGGCTTTCTCCCCCATGAAAGATAAAACGAGAACAGAGAGAAAGATAAAACGAGAACAGAGAGAATGTGCAAGTTGTTTGTTTTCAATTTGCGGAGTTAGCTGTGACTGGGGAAATATGCAGGGCCATGACGCAGTCTGCAATGCAACTGTCGCAGACTAAATATGGAATGAAATAACAACACTTGAAGCGAATGCAAGAGGACTACGACATAGTAGCTAGGCGCCATTGTATTGTCTGTGCCACCTTTGCAGTTGGACACTTTGCTCAGGACAATTACAATTCCGGAGGGTGCAGCACCTGGTTCCATTCTATCCATCCCTGTGAAGGGCCGTCCAGAGAATGTCAAGGCCTGGGCGGGCAGCCACCTCACAAGTAGGTGACACATTTTTGACTCCAGGCAGTGGTGCCTGAGGGTTATGGACCTGGAGACGAATTGGCATCAAACTTGGTAAGTAATTCTAAAACTTTTGTTGGGCCACCTGATGCCCAAGGTCTTGATGCAGTTGGCGGGCACTGATAAATGGGCCCTTGACCAAGATGTAGAACTTTGTTGGCAGTCCCAAATCTGAGTTTTCCTGGCTTCGCTTGTTTAAAGGTGGAGGAATCTGTGCTTAAGCAAGCCGAGCAGGTGGGAATCAGGCTTCTTGCAGTCACTGTTTTGTTCCTTTTTCTCCCTTTGCTGAAGGATGCGGCCAATGCTGTCTTCGGTGATGCCGACAGCCAAGTCCACCAACCGTTACAGCAGCCAACATTGTCGGGATGCACGCAAGATTGATGGAGCGATTTTTGCAGCATGCACAGATAAGAACATATAAGGGAATTAGAAAGCAGGTTACCTTTCCGTGGACAGCCATTCTTGTTTGTGCTCGTCAAGTTCAGGTGTGTTTCATTTGGCACTAAATACTGTATACTGATATACAATGGGGCAAGCCTCCGACGCTATGTGGAGCAAGCAAGACAAAGACACCACAGCCTTAGCCCATGTTGTCCTGCGCGCAAAGGTGTGGCTGCAGGGTGCCAGACGGCAGCTTCGAAGCCCACCCAAAAACCCAGGACCTAGGACAAGGCCACGGCCAGAGGCCGAAACCCAGTAACAAAGAGTCGGCAGGGTCAGGGGCCAAAGGCGGCCACGGCCAGAAGCTGGCATGGTCACAGCAAAAAGCAAAGGTTCTACCGGTGTGCCAGGCGCCGCCCTGCTTAGCTTGGGCTAAGCAGGGGTCGTACCAAAAATCATATATCTATATTGGAAGTTTTTCAAACTGATACTTTGAGCATGCTACCCGCACCGGTGCAGCTCGGGCACAAGTGCCTTTTTGGCTTCTTGGGGGCGCTGCCATGGTGCGGTGGCGGTGGCTCCTGGTGGGCCTTGGATGGCTGGGATCTGGCCGCAGCTGGTGGCAAGGCCCTGGAGTGGAGGACGTGCCTCAGCAGAACCAGACGGTTTGCTGGGATGATCCCTACCACTGCCTCCAGCTGCGAGTCAACACGACCTATGCCGCCATCCAGAACCAGTACGCGGCCCTGACGACTTGGGACAGCGTGGTTTGGTCGATCCTAGACACGCTGCTGAGTGGAGCGGGTTGGATGGTATTCGGGCAGAGCTGGACGAGTGTTCGGACTGGATGTTCTATGATCCTGCGGGTAGCAACACTTATGGCTATATGCCTGATCCTCCACTACTTCCTGTCCCTTGCATGGCCGCTTTGCTCCTTGCTCATCGGGACGATCCTCACGATGATCTGGATCGTTCGAGCATGTGTGAGATGCTGTGGCCGGGGAGCTTTTCTGATCCAGAGGCTCACAGGAGGGGTGCCCGAGATGACCGGTGCTAACTTCATTGGGCCGGCCACCGGTGAGGTCCCCGAGACATCGGAGCTCAGGAAGTTGAAGAAGGGCTCAGAGGATCGATGGGTTCTCTTGCGCCGGGATGGGCAGGTGGTCATCATCAAGGTGACGGAGAACGCGGCCATCAAGTCCAGCGGCATGTACCTGAGCTTTGACCCGGAGTCGGTTCGAGGGGATGGCCCGTTGCTTTTGGCCCTCAAAGGCTACGAAAGGGTACACCTTTGCAGGCATGACACATGCCCGGAGGAGGGGCAGCACTTTAAGAGCTATGCCTTGGCCCGCCAACTCAATCCGGAGAAGTTCCATCTGATGTCTACGGCTGAAGGAGCTCAGAAGACGGGAGCTAAGGCGATGGGTTGGTTCTTCTCGAAAGCAGGCAAGGCGGCCAAGAAGTTCAAGGACTATGCCTCCGAGTCTGAGAAGGAGGAGGAGGTCAAGTGTTGTGCCCACTTGGTTCGGTGGGAGAGTGCACTCGGACGGGGATGTTTGAGTGAGAGCCCATGTCAGGAACCTGCCAGCAACGAGGTCGAGTACCTGGAGGAGGACCGGGCCGGGCTGAGTGGGGACCAGGACTTCAAGCTCTGCCCCAAGCACGCCGTCAGCTACCTCACCTCTCGAACGTCACTGCGGTGCTCCTATGGGGGATGTAACCGGGTGGGGAACCTCTCCAAGCATGGGTTGCGAGTGTGTGGCACTCATGAAGAGGCAAGCAACCCGACACCATCGAGGCGCTCCTCTCGTTCGAGGTCGAGGGCAAGGGATCCACCTCCGGAAGAAGAAGAAGGAGAAGATCGACCGGAAAGAGATGGAGAAGATCGCCTACGACGGCGGGGACGGGTCCGGGAGGTTTCCTACGACACAGGGGAGGTGGAGACCATCTTGCGGGAAGTCAGGGACGAGAAGGAGGAAACGCTGCCCGCTTCAAGGAGAAGGAGAGTGGCGTCCCCAGGCCACACTCCGAAGTCGTCAGTGCAGCGCAGCCTTGCGAGGATGGGCATGATCAACTCCCCGGACCGGAGAGGAGAGATGACCTACCTGGAGGAGTTCATGGAGCAGCTGGCCGATGGGAAGGAGCTGCAGTTGAACGAGGAGGACATCCGAAAGCAGATGGCGGCTCAGTCGGGCTTGACAGTGGGAGACCTCACCAAGTTCCTCTACGAGCAGGCTACTGAAGAGCAGCGGAAGGGCACCAAAGGCCTGACCAAGTTCTTGGCGAAGTGGAGGAAGCAAGCAGCCGCTCAGGAAGGGGCACCACCATCCACGCCCTCAGATTGGAGTATCATCGAGAGAGAGCGGGAGAGCTCGGCGCCTACACCCACCAGTGCGGCTTCTGGAGGACGAGTGGCCCAGAGCCCGGGTTCGGTTACCGTGGAGACCCCACCCAAGAAGAAGCTTGCTGTGATCCCACCGCCTGGCATCTATGACCCAGATCGCAAGGCAGGCACTGGCCCGGATGGTAGAGGCACCAACCCCGAGATGACTGACATCGCACGAGCGATCCAGCAGCAGACCAACGAGTTGGCCACGTTGGTTAAGGCACAACAGGAGTCAACCGCCGGGGTAGGAGGGTCCATCAAAGCCCTCGGAAAACCCTCAGAAGAACTGGTTTTTCTCCTGCGTGCATGCGGTCAGTATACCGTGCAGGTCGGGGCCAATGAGTACGGTGCCGCCCTAGCCCAGGCCTTGCTGGCCGCCCAGGCAGGGTCGTCAACAAAGTTGAGGGCAGCTGGCTTCCGCCAAAAGGTCACCTCCCGTTTGGCTATTGGAGTTGCAGGGCCTTACTGTGGTACACAGGAAAAGTATGCCCTTAGTGCCTCAGACTTCATCCCCTGCACGGACGCGGAGCTGGATCAGTTTGCCATCGAGAGCAGGACGGGCAAGCAGACCAATGAGCAGCGGCCCACGGCACCCACTCGGTACGAGGACTGGCTGAACCGAGCGAAAAGACAGAACGACATTTGGGCCCTCGTGTACGGCATGGAATGGAAGGGAGTGAGGGACCATGCCATCAACCTCCTGGGTGAGTGGCGCATCAGTGCACCTCACAAGTGGCCGCTCCAGGTGCTCATCGACGTGTGGGAAGAGCTTCACTGGCGCTTCCTGGAAGAGCTCAAGGAGGAGCTGAGGAAGATCAAGAGGCAAGCTGGGAGAGAATCCATGACCTTACAGGACCTGAAGTTCTATGCCCTGATGCCCGATGAAGACGGCAAGCCGCCTTTGGAGCTCCCACAGACCTTTGACCTTCGTCGACCAGAGGGTTGGTTCATGTCTGAGGTCATGCCCCGGATCGAGAGGCGCCAGGAGAGAATGCTGTGGAAAATGACCTGGGAAGGTTCCGGCAAGAGCCGTGCACAAGGGCAACCTGCTGGGGGTGATGGTGGGCCGAGGGAGGACAAGGTCACCTTAAAGACGCTCCATGGACCCAAGCTCACTGCAGAGGAGACGGCTAGGTCGAAGGACCGAGCACCAACCAACAAGGAGGGCAAGCTCCTGTGCTGGGGGTATTTGACCCACACGGGCTGCACCCAGACGGGTTGTCAACGGGCTCACGAGGCACTCAAAGGCCCTTTCGAAGCTCTTGACCCTGCCGTCCAGTTGCAACTTCTTCGTCGAGGGGGGCTCCGAAGGATGAAGGCGGAGACAAAGGAGTCGGCGGCGGAAAAGATGAAGGACATCAGAGCGGGTGTGGCAAAGGACAAAGCTGCAAAGGTGCAGGATGGAAAGGATCGTCGAAGAGCTGGACAAGGTGAAAACCTGAGTGCCGGGGAGCCAGAGGTCCATGAAAAGGCGGGAGGCCGGGTGAGTTGGAAGGCGCCAGAGGAGATGGTTCAGGTCGACTACACCAGCCAGGAAAAAGACTTCGCCGAGTTGGTGTCGGGTCCAGATCACTCCATCTTCGACCACGTCCCGAGGGAAGCGAAGCCCCACGCGGGGCGCGATGGCACGTCGGCCCCCTTCGAGGCGCAGGAGATGGTGAGGAAGGCGCAGGCCTTGGCTGATGGTCCCGTGTTGGGAAAGTTGCAAGAGGCCTCGGATGATTTGTATGCCTGGGCCGCCACAAGAGTCGCCAATGACCCGGAGGTAGGCTTCGAGGCGTTGATGGAGGAGATGGTGCAGTATGGTCTGGGCGAACTGGCAGCAGAGGCAGCAGACCTTCTCGAAACCCATGGTGGCGGGCCCAAGGCAGGACATCAAGCTCGGTGTCGAGTGGGAGAGACACGTTGGGACGACGATGGACCTGGGAAGGCACTGGTGCAGATTGATGATGCATCCTGGGCTATGTGGGACTACGGCGAGGTCGTGCACATGACGGAAGAGCTTGCCGGGCTTCTGGGCCTCATCGAGCCGGAGAAGGAGAAGCGGCAGTGCGTGACTAAGGTCTTCGCAGCGGGTTTGCTCATCACCCAGGAGGGCAAAGTTCCAACAATGGAAGAGGTGGAGAAGTTGGCGCAGGACTTCAGGCTGGAACAGGCCAGACTGGCGGTGGAAGCCGAAGGGGTGATGGGCCACGCAGAGACGAGGGTGGCGCCCGTCGAACATGAACTCAGAATGTATGCCCATGACATCCTCAAACCACACCATGACAAGGATTACCGAGCTCTGGCCGTGTTCCCCTTGGCAGCTTTGGAGGAGATGCGCATCGTCGTCGTGCGGGTCGACTACAAGGGCGACGTGTTGTTGGAGACGGTGACTGGAAGCCAATGGACGCAGCGGGACATGTGGGTGATGATTTCGAAGGGCCACATGACGCTGCTACAGCCCCCGGCGGAGGACGTCGCTCGCCAGTTGCTGACCAACGAGGACGTGTACAACACACCTTGTTTGGGGTTTCGATACTTTTGGCACCAACGGCACGATCAGGCAAAA